AACTTAAGAATTATAAAGTTCAAGTAGTTCATATTTTAAGTAATAGTAATGAAAATCAAAGGAAAAAAGCTTATCTATACTTCAAATTAAAAGAAGATCTTACAAATGCCCAAAACTGTATTCTTTATTACTTTAATACCAAGCTTTCATGATATCTAAGTACAGAAAATTTAAAAACAAGTAATTCTCCCAATAGCTCATTCTTATATTAAAGAGAAGGCAAAAGCTCATATAAAGAGAAAAAATTTTCAGATGAAGTAGAAACACAGAGTAGAGAAAATCAGCAAAAGTTACACATACTAAACAAAAATACTCAGTATAGAAGTTTCAAGATTGATTTTAGCAAGCATATTAAAGTTAATAAGAGAAATAACAACTACAAACCTCAAACTAATACTAAAAGACCCCTGAGAAATATCAGTAATAAATATGCAACTAATTTCAACAGAATAGAACTAGGGAAAAGAAAGAAGAAAATAAATACTAAAAGAATCAAAAAAGAGACAAAAGATATTAACCAAACCTTGTTGCTTCAAAAAATACTAAAAAGACTAAATATGCTAGAAAGTAAACTGTCAAGCTTCTCTAATTTGGGAGAAATTTTTTCTAAAAGTTGCTATAAGTATCAACAAGAACAAAAGCAAGCTTATTAGCTTGTACAAAGAGAATCAAAAAACAAACAATAGATTTAATTTTAGAATTGCATATTATAATATTAATAGAATCAAAAGTAAAAAACATATTAAGCTAACAAGGTTATTAGAGTGGGCTAAAGAAGAAGATATTAGTATAATAGAAATAGCAAAGTCAAATATAACAAATAAAGAAGGCCAATACCTAGTTAAAGAAGTTTTAGATGACTAGTTTATAAACTTCTGGTCAGATGCAAATAAGGACAAAAAAAAAGATTCTGGTGTAGCAAGAGTCATATGTATAGAAAAATATATGATAGAAACAATACTTTTCTTTAAACAACTAGAGATAACAATTATAATGTTATATATCTCTCCTAATAATAAGGAGTAAAAGAAAAAGATACAACAGCAAATTATACATAGATTTATAAAAAGGAAAATAGTCTCACAATTTATAATAATAGGAGATTTTAACTATACAGTAAATTTAGAATTAGACTGATTGTGTATTGATTTAGTAACAACAAACAAAAAGAAACTGTTGTTATACAAATGGCTTAAAAACTAAGATTTTTATAACATATTTTGAATTTTAAACCCACATGCCAAAGCTTTCACATAGTTAAATAGTAACCAAAAAATAAGAATTGATCAAATATAGGTTTCAGAAGACCTGTCTATCACTACACAAAAGGCTAAGATACAGGAAGCAATCTTTATCACAAATAGCAATCATAGTCTAATCTTTACTAAACTTACATTAGTAAATCTAGTGTAATTTACCCAAGCAGCTCAGATTAAGAGAAAAAAATTCCTATAAAAAGTATTTATATATGACAAAGCCTCTGAAAATAATTAGAAAAATTACAAACAAGACTTATAGAATTATTTGAAAAGTAAGAGCAGTGTTATTTATCACCTGATTTTTTTTTTATACTCCTTTTTCTTTCTTATTATATATATAATCAGGTCTTTATATATAATTTTAACTTTTTTTTAACTCCCTCCCTCTCTAAAAAATTACCTGATTTTTGTTACTCTCTTTTTTAAAGATATAGATTTGTGAAATATCTAAAAATGCTATATATTTTTGTATTTGCCTTTTTGATAAGGATATAGCTAATACCTAATATACCAGGAGCTAAACTGTTTTTAACTTCTTTTAATATTTAGTTTCAATTTTTCTCATTGATTTTTTCTTCTAAAGGTTTATATTAGTTCTTCTAAATTTGATCTTGTGGTCTGTAGATTTCACTTTAGCTACTTTTAAGAAGCTTTGTATACATTTTTTGTTTTTGGAACTGATCTTGAAAGTGCTTATTAGTTTTTTTTAAAACTTTATTAGAGTTCATTATGAGTTTTGATATATTATTCTTTTCTATAAGCAAGCAATCAATTTGAATTTTCTTGTATAGTCTTTCTAATAAGCTTAAAATTATTTTTCCTTGTTTATGTATTATTCTTTTACATCTAATATTAGTATATTCAAGTATTTCATCTTTCTTAATTTTTTTTCTTCTCGCCAAGCCAGCAAGATTTTAATATTTTTACCAGCCCTTAATGTCATTGATTGTTTCTATATCTGTCATATCTTTAATCAAAGGAATACTTGTTTCTTGT